TACGAACAAGGAAAGATTATGATGATAAGTTAATGTTTATTTGCAAAAAGCTATATTCATGTTTGATAAATAATTAAATAAAATCTAAACAAAAATATTGGTTATAAAGCAAAAAAATCGGTGTTACAATTTTGAACAAAAATTTTCTTTGCAATAAATTGATTCATCTAAGACACCGATTTAAGAGCGAAGCGTTGACCAACGCCTGAAATCTTCGAAATCAATTCTTGAAAGATGGCTTTTTGCGCCTCGGTTGGTTTTATTTTGGATTCGTGCTCTGTACAGCCCTCGGGTCCACCTTGATTTTTGGATCAATAATGATTTAAGTCAATTTAACGTGAAATAGGATTCTTAACAAATTAAAAAAGAACAAGAGTCTACAAATAATGATTGATCAAAAGATCGAAAGCTAAAATAACCAAATTTATATACCGTTACGCCATTCAAACCCATCTTCAGTCTGGATATGTATCGACGTGTCAAATCCGTAAATATCTTGACCGCCTATTGGGAATTCGGTTGGTAATTCCTTAAGAGTGGTACGCAAGTCTGTTACGAGTGCATTAAGCTCTTGACTAAATTTTTTTTATTATTATAAAATTAAGTCAATGGTATGAACAAAAGAAACAGTTACAAGCAGGTACCTGCTGATTTCACCGCTTTGTACTCGATAATCGTCGCGACCGTCCAAGATCGACTGTTGAACAAACCCACCGCTGGGGTCACCGTTTATTTCAATTACACGCCTTTTTGTTAATTAAAGCAGAAAGCAATAATAAATATGATATCAATATAACTTTAAGTCATTAGATAGATTTTGTTTTCTGTTACTTACCTTACTGTTGGTGGTTTGAATCCGCCCACGATACCTTCGGTTAGTTGGATATGAAAAGACATTACCACTAATACTTAATTCAAAGAGAACACAAAAATCCCGATTGAAATTCAGATTGATCAAAATTAGTTTAGTAATCCCGATTATTAGACTTTCCTTTATTTATCCATGTATATTTGTATATTTATAGATAGACCCTTCCCTTCAACACAACCAAAGTTTACATACACGTGAATTATATAAAAAAAAATGGTAACCTTTGCTATTATCTGCGCGAGTAACCAAAACCGTAGCATGGAGGCTCATCATGTACTATTGTAAAGTATCAGTTTAACATTTTTGTCTAAAGGATAGCATTTCAATAACATTAATATTGTTCGAAAAATTAGCAAGAAAGGATTCAAAGTGGCATCATATGGAACTGGGTCAGCCGTTCGTCTTCCTGGGCCGAGTATCGATAAACCAAACATTTATAGCTTTGGGACGCCTTATGATCATATCTATCAGGAATTGAAGGCTAAAGATCCAAAGTTGTGGGTATTTACATAGTCGCTTTCTGTTCTTTCCTTTAGCATTTTTTGTTTAACGCGAGAAAATAAGAATCTGATCAATCGTTCATTTAATCAATCTCTTTAACAATGTTATTAAATGATGAAGGTATACCCAAAATGGACTCTTGGACATGCTGGACAGAAATCGTAAAATAAAACGAGCACCGGAAAGATGGCAAGAAACCACAGGAGTCTTCGATGTGATAATAACATGTGAGGAACGATGTTTTGATGCTGTCCTCGAAGGTATCTTAAACATCATTGATCTCTAATATCTATAAACTTTGTTGTTGCATTATGATGATGATGATGATGATGATGAAATTACTAATTATTTTTATTATTAAAAAAGATTTGATTAATAGAGGTCAAGAAAGACACAAGCCAACACACGTTATAAACATCGAGATTAAAGATAACCATGAGGACGCGATGCTCGCTGGACGTGCTATTTTACACATGGCTCAAATGGTCTGTATATTATTTTCCATGTTTTTCAAATGTGCGTGTATGCGTGTGTAATTTAGACTTTTGGTTGTTTGTGTTTTGTTTGGATTCTGTTGTATTTCGAGTATTTGTTTGATTACTTTGTGTCGCTGGGTAAGTTATTTGATCATTCTTAATTCACATCCCATTTCATTGTCATCATCGTCGCTGCTGTCGTTATTATCATTCGAGTCTATGCGAGCGTGTATGTAATCAAGATATTCGTTAATCCATATCACGAATGTATATATTTATATATACATTGTTTCTTATTTACACGTGCAAAAAGCCATAGTATATATATATGTGTATACATAACGACAATATACATATCTATTATATATATATATTATGGGCTTTTCTGTAATAGTACGCGTTATATTATATACATATAGGTGAATCAGGTATTCCTAATTATTGTTAACAGAAAATATAATCTTAATAATAATAATAATATAAATACAATTACCTAATTTTCGCCTAATAAATATATATATTTTTATATATTTATATACACAAAATGATTATCAAAAAAAAAGGCTTTAATCATAGATAGCTTTAATCTCGAGCCAATTTTTATTAGTGTATGTTCAAGTCGTCCCCTTGGATAATCCTACCTGAATCTGATTCTACTTGACAATGGAATTGTGACAAATCGAAATGGGATGTGCATTAAGAAGGTGCAATTTTTATACGGAAAACACGATGACTATTTTTTTTTCAATTCTATATAAACAGATGTTCATATATATTATGTACTAACCAAAATTTTCCTTTTGCATTTTCATGACAATAAAATTCGCATCCGATTGCTTGTTAACTGATATACCAAAACTTTGATTCCAATTAAATTCAAATCAACAACAATAACAGATCGAAAAGGCCAAAGACATTGATCAAGAAATTGAAAAAATACTCGAGGAATGGAAAGAAAAGTATCCATATACTATCCTGCATGGTGTCACTTTCTTTTAGATTTTATTTATTTCTCTTTACCACCAATAACAAAATTTACCCACAAACCAAATTTATTTTTGAACTAAATCATTTTCTATAAACATGAAATTTAGACTTTTGTACAACATTAAAAATGTGCGTTGCAAATATTTTAAATAAACTTTTTTTAAACACACAACTTTTATTCTTCCGCGGTCATTCAAAAACATTAGAGGCCAAATAAATGATAAAAGTACTTAGAATAGGTATTTTTTTTAATGATTAATAAATTAATGATCACTGATATGTATGATGAATTACAAGTAAAACAATCCAACTCCTAAAAAAATGCATATTTCATTTTTTGAGGTGAAAATATACATATACCTGAAAATCACCCATCCATCTTTTCATTTAGTTTTTTTAATTATCAATAGCCTTTAATATTTTCTTTGATTTTTCATCATAAGGAGAATTTTGTGCCACTCCAAATTACGAGCCTTGGAAGTCTTATATAGAAGTACCTTGGCTATCAACTTTTTAGATGATGTGTAAGTTGATTGACGTAAAAAAAAATCTTATACAAAGGTTTGTAATGAGATGGGGGATTTAATACACAAAGAGCTTGTTGATATTAGTCGAGCCTCCTTGAAAAATTATCTAAAGTTACGGAAGGAGCCCATATTCCAGTAAGAATGCTCAGCCTGAATAAATTTGTTATTAACAGGTAAGAAAGTTCAATGATTTGATTTCTTTATTTTATAATGTGTCGCGCGTTATGATGATACATCATATACCAAAATCCTGAAATTCCTAAACAAACAAAAATGTGTTGACATCCAACAAAAAGTTTCAGCCTTGTCTGATCGCATATATATAAAACTTATCAACCGATTATTCCAATATTATTCATATTTTTACTAATTCTTCTCTGCCAATGCACAAAGATTGCAAATAAGCAGCAGGTTAAATGGCAGAATCGACGACTTACAAAGAATATTTTAATCTTGTCAAAATTAAACGCTACCCAATAGTTC